GAGGGACAGAGATAGTGTGAGGGAAAGTGAAAAATCATTCCCAGGGAGAATGGCCATGCCGCAATCCTTTCTCCATTGTCTTCCTGGGATCTTGGGCATGCATGCACACATGCCTGGTGTGTTTCAAGCCACTAGGTCTAGGACTCTGTGATTGGCCATGTGGGAGTCCAGTGACATAACCACTATACCATCTGTTTGCCCTCTTTAAAATAATTTTAATTTTATTTAATTTTATTTATCTTAACTTGACCAGAGAGGGACAGAATGAGAGAGAGAGATGGGGTCGGGGTGGGAGGAGTGAGAAAGCAAGCCACCAGGTCCGGGACATGAACCACGGTTGGCCATGTTGGAGTCCAGTGCCCTTAACCACGTCACCTGTCCCCTCCCTTTTCTTTAGCTTTAAAGTTTTGCTATAGGGCAATGTGCTTGCCAGAGAGGGGAACGGGAGAAATCACCTCCCGGAGGGGATTGGTCATGCCAAAATTCCTTCTCCATTCTCCTGTTGGGATTTTGGATGTGCACACACACATGCACCTGGCTTGAGTTTCAAGCCACCAGGTCCAGGACTCAAACAGCATGGTTGACCATGTGGGATCCAGCACCTTAACCTCCATGCCACCTGCTGGTCCCTTTCTTTTCTAATCTAGCTAAGGGGCTTTATGTATTACAGCTGGTTGTGATTGTTTTCCTGCCCTCCCACAGCCCAGAACACCCTGAGAACAGTGCCTGTCCCGTGTCTTGGATGCGGTATCCTCCCCTGCCCTGACTCTGTCTCGGGACAGGGGTCTGCCCCAGTGGGGCACGGTCTTTGCACTCACTGCCCTTCTGCCACGTGGGCTGGCTGCCTCATGCCCTCACTGTCACTGTCAGGAGGTCTTATTACTTCCTTCCTTTTTTTAAAAATTATTGTTTTCATTTCATTTATCATCATTATTATTTGTTTTTAATTTGGCCAGAGAGAGAGAGACAGAGAGTGAGAGAGAGAGAGAGAGGGCAAGTTGCCTGGGCCAGGACTTGAACCATGGTCGGCTATATGGGAGTCCAGCACCTTTAACCACCATTCCACCTGCTGCCCCCAACCCCCCACCCCAGGAGGTCTTATTTCTGACCTGACAGTTCCTGCTCTGATTCTGTCTCTTCTTTCTGGGGAGATAGAGCACAGCCTTCCTCAAAATAACCCTTTTAGAGACCTGGCCTGTTATTCGATCCCGCTTCCCTGCCACCTCCCCCTCTCTGAATTATCCCAGTTGTCTGAGAGAAGAGATAAGACAGTCCCTTATCTGAGCCCTGAACTGTGCAGGGTGCCCTAAAAAGACAAGTGGCTCTGTTGCATCCGGCAGGGGCTCTGGGGGCTGGGGGCCTCTGGATCAGTGGATGCCTTCCCTTTGGTCCTAAGGGTCTGCCCCTTGGAGAAGGAGGCCCTGACAGGGAGCCCAGATTCTGCCAGGACTTGCCTCCACCAGGGGCACGGGGGCTTTCTGAGGTCCTCCTTCTCTGTTCTTCCCAAGCCCCCATCTCTGCCACTCCCAGGGGAGCCCCAGGCCCCGGGACACTGAATTGGTGGGGGAGGCTTAAGATCAGCATGCCATAAGGGACATGTGCCCAGGACCCAGACGGCCTCGTCCTGTGCTTCTGCCACTCACCTGCCATTCTCTGAGCCTGAGGAATCACCCACCTCAACTCTCGCCTGCAGAGAGCACTTGGGGCTGTACCTCCCGGGGCCCCTTCTGTTTCTAGGTTCCCTCTCCTGGCTCCTTGGCCCTCCTCTGCCTCTGGGGCTCTTGCTGCAGAGGAGGTGCCCACTTGATCTTGTGGCCTGACTCCTTAGCTCTCCTCTCCGCTAGCCATCGCTCCCAGGAGCCAGGCAGAAGTCACAGAGATTCCAGAACCCCTGGGGTTCAGGTGCCTTGCTCTAAGAGGGCTATGGGTGAGGCCCGTGAGGAGAACAGCCGTGGCCACAGGCTGCCACACGCCTCTGACGTGCCACAGCTGTTATTTGAAGGAACCAGAAAGTCCTGTCTCAGGCCCGCCCGCCCTTAACCCTTCAGCGCAGCCTCCCAGCGGTCAGGCCTCTTGGGCTTCCCTGACTCAGCCTCCTGCCTGGCTCCCCCAGCCCCTGCCCCCTCTGCCCAGCTTCCCTGGCACTGGGGCTAGCTTGTTTTCCTCCTCTCCTCCCGGCTCTTCTCTCTGAGCCTTGGCCACGCCCGCCCTGGCTCTCAGGCCTGACACTCCTGCCAGCTGTCATGGGGGCTGGGCTGACCCTGTCATAGGGTCCCAGCTGGCTCTGCAAGTCACCAGGCTGCTCTGCCAGGCCACCCAGCTTCTTCCCTTGAGTTTCTGCTGTTAAGCTACTGGCCACTGGAAGGCTGGGAGGTCCAGGCTCCCCTGCTCCCGCTGCCTCTTGTAGGTCTGATGCTCCACAGCCCTAGGCCCCTGTGCTGCCCCCCACTCCCCACCCCCTGTCCTGGCTGGGAAGCTGCTCAGTAGAGAGGCCCGTGGACTAAGAGTTGGCATGAAGGCAGGAGGGGCAGAGACTGACCAGGTGGGGAGGTGGCTGGGGACAGCAACTGATACATTGTGGTGATCCAGAGGGAAACAACAGTAGGGTCTCCTCCTGCATGGAGATAGCTTGGCCTGGGCTGTAGGGCGTGGGGGATTGTGAGGCTGGGTCGGGGTGCTTACATCTGCTGTCTGTCTTCTCTTTCAGGTCCCAGCAGCTGGGGTCTCCCCTCAGCCCTCGAGTGGCCATGTCCAACCCCAGTGCCCCGCCTCCATATGAGGACCGCAACCCCTTGTACCCTGGTCCTCCGCCCCCTGGGGGTTACGGGCAGCCATCTGTCCCACCAGGCGGCTACCCCGCCTACCCTGCCTACCCCCAGCCGGGCTACGGTCACCCTGCTGGCTACCCACAGCCTGCGCCCCCTATCCACCCAATGCCCATGAACTACGGTGAGTCCTTGGAGGGGAGCTGGGTGGGCCTCCTGCTTTCACTCCTCTCTTCACTTCCACTTCATTCCAGGCCTTCTCTGTTTAGGTCACCTGTTCCAATCTTCATCACCCCGCTTTCTCTCTCAGCACCGTCACTTGCTAGTGCAAGTGAGGAGACCGAATGTGTAAGACACACCAGAACTTCCATGGCAGGGGACAAAGTGGCTGTGTGAAGTTATGACTTCAGGCAGCCACCTTGGGAGGCCACTTCTGTTTCCCAGCAAGGTTGCTGCCACCTGACCTCACCCAACTCCATGTTTTCCTTACACACATTCCCCTTGGGACCTAAAGCACTTTTTCTGCCTTAATATCCTTGGTGCTGACAGATCCTTGTCCTTTAAGGTGAGATCTCATTTTTGCAAACGTCCCAGAGCCATCTGGACAAGTGTGGTCAGCATGGCAGGCAGGTGCTATATTTGGTTAGAAATAGGGTGAGATGAAGATGCAGTGAGACTCTTCCTGGACGGCACATAAGCGGATTTTGAAAGCAGTTCCCAAAGAGGTCTTCGAAGGATGCCTGAGCCCCTGCAGCGTTCACACCTGAATGAGGGGCTTGGTGCCACGTTTACAGTCGTGTATGCCCTGACTGGTCTGTTCTCGTGGAGGCCTGATACTGGCCCTGGCCCTAGCTCTGCATGGCCTGGTGGAGACTGTGGTCTTTATTCTGCCCTTCCCACTCATGCCCTGTGCTTTTCTTTCCTCGTTTCTCTGACCCTCCATCCCTGTATCCTCTCTGACCCGGCCAGTTGCCCAGGTTGATACTCTAAGCCCCGCTTCTTCACCAGACTGTGATCCCCCAGTGGTGAGGCCTGGGCACACAGGGCCCCAAGAAATGCTGATGGAATGGCCCACACTTCAGCCCCCTTGTGGCGGGCCAGCTCTCCGTCTTGGAGGCCACGTAGAGGACCCCATTCTGCGTTGTAACACTTTTGGCTGGAGATACCCGAGGCTTTGTTTGAGACAGCATCAAGGGGGCTTTGGGATGAAGGCCACGTGTTCCAGGTCCCTAGTTGCTCATGTATGATCTGTCCCTATGCCCAGGCCATGGCTACGATGGGGAGGAGAGAGCAGTGAGTGACAGCTTCGGGCCCGGAGAGTGGGATGACCTCAAAGTCCGACACACCTTCATCCGAAAGGTGAGACGTGGGCGGGAGGCAGGCACCCTGCGTGTCCTTCGTTCAGGCCGAGCGGGTGTGGGAAGGCAGCTGGACGGCCCCGGGGCCTCAGTCCCAGGCTCTCTCTAGCCCTGTCTTCTCCTCCGAGGGGGCCCCAGCTCCTCTCATGACAGGTGCCCCATTTGTTCCTCTCCCCCATGACCTTAGCTGGGGAGGGCAGATTCAATCTCAGAGATTTGGTGTCCTAAGTGTCCCATCCCCAGATGTCGTTCTGCTGGACGGTAAGCGCCCTGGAGCCAGAAGTGAGGCTACTGGCTTGTGACCCACCATCTCCCAGCCCGCCTCGGCTCTGTGCCTGCCAGTCGACAGGTGCCTGATGTGAATCAGACCAAGCTCCATGCGGAGCCACACTGGCAGGGCTCTGGCAGGGGCAGGCACGTGAGCAGTCTGCTGAGGCTGACTGGCAGATGGGGGCGAGGTGCCAAGGAGCAGGAGGAGGGGACTGAGGAAGAAGTGGACATGGCATCTGGGCCGGGCTCCTCAGGGGGCCTCTCAGCCAGGCTGCAGCTTGGGAGGGTGCTTGGAGGAAACAGAAAGAGGAAATGCTTCAAAACAAGAGAAGCCGCTCACCACTAAAAGGACGGGGGAGGTGGGGAGGACAGGGGCCCAGTGGGTTTTGGGGCTCCTTGGTCTGGGGGTGATGCTGACCCCGTCTTCTCTCCCTGCGGCCTACTCCAGGTCTACACCATCATCTCCGTCCAGCTGCTCATCACAGTGGCCATCATCGCCATCTTCACCTTCGTGTGAGTCTCCAGGCCTCGACCCCCCCCCCCGCAGCAGCCTGCAGGCTCCAGGTCACCTGCTGGGGGTGTGGGTTGCAGTGGGTCCTAGGGGTGATTAGAAGCTGGAGCCCCGGCTGCCGGGAGGGCCTGGGCAGGGCAGTAGCCAGCCATGGTGTGACGACTCTCGTCCTCTGCCCTACAGGGAACCCGTCAGCACCTTCGTGAGGAGAAATGTGGCTGTCTACTACGTGTCCTAGTGAGTGTGTCCCCTCTCCACTCAGGGCAGCAATTTTCAGTTTCTCATCGACCAGCTTTGCCCGGGGCTTTCCGGGGTGCCCATGCCAGTATCTGTGCTGGGGGGTGGGGTGCACTCCCAGATGAGGACTAACGGGTCACGGACTCCTGAGGGCGTGGGGGAGCTGTGGTGGCAACAGGGGGTCCCACACAGTGGTCCGCCTGTCCCCTTAGCCCGCGTGCTGTGGCCTCCCTAACCTCCTCCTGCCCAAACTCCGGGCTGTAGCTTCTCAGCGCCCCTCCCTGGGGTCCTGGCTTCCTACTGAGCAGCTTCTCCTGAGGCTCTGCAGCCCCTGGGCTTGCCCAGTGTGGCCCACCTGGCCGGGAGGGGGTTAGGGAGCTGGGCTTTACACGACTTCCCTCCCCAAATCTCTCCCCAGTGCTGTCTTCATCGTCACCTACCTGACCCTTGCCTGCTGCCAGGGACCCAGGTGAGTCCCAGAGACTTAGGCAGTGAGCAGAGATAGCAGGGGTGAGACAGGGGCCAAGGACTGTGGGAAGAGAAGGGATTCCTGTCGCAGGTGAAAGGAGATTTGGAACATGACGATGGAGATGGCTGAGAGATGACGGCAATGGTGGGGGAGCGCGTTTCAGGTGTGTACCAAGTGCCGGTTATGTGGAACCTGCCTAGCTAGCCTCCCTGCAACAGCCTCTGAGATGTGGAGCTTTTTTTTTTTTTTTTTTTTTTTTCTATGGGTGTTGGCTTCTTGCCGGGGACAGAGACAGTGTGAGGAAAAATGAGAAATCACCCCTGAGCGGGTGTGGCCATGCTACAATCCCTTCTCCTTCATTCTCCTCTCAGGATTTTGGGCATGCATGCACACGCACCTGGCATGCACACTCATACCCGGCATGATTTTCAAGCTGCTGGGTCCTGGACTCAAACCACTGTCCGCCATGTGGGAATCTAGCACCTTAACTATTGTCCCACCTGCTGGCCCAACAGGAGTTTTTTTTTTTAGAGACTTTTGCTGTAGGGCATATGTGCTCGCTGAAGGGACAGAAAGTGAGAAATCATCCCCCCAGGGGGGATGGTCACACCACAATACCTTCTCCACTCTCCTCTCAGGATTATGGGCACACATGCACACGTGCCTGGTGTGAATTCAAGCCCCTGGGCCTGGGCCTTGAACTGTTATATCCAGCGACATAACCACCAAGTCCCTGGGCCTGGACCTTGAACTGTTATATCCAGCGACATAACCACTATGCCATGTGTTGGTCCCCCAACAAGAGTTTTTTTTTTTTTTTGGTTTTTTGGCTACAGGGCATGTGTGCTCGCCAGAGAGACAGAAAGCGAGAAATAACCCCCCCAGAGGGATGGTCATGCCACAATCCCTTCTCCTCCATTCTCCTCTTGAGATCTTGGGCACACGGGCACACGCGCCCGGCATGAGTTTAAGCCACTGGGTCCAGGACTTGAATCGTGGTCGACTATGTGGGAGTTCAGCGACATAGCCATTACGCTAACTGCTGGTCCCCCAACGGAGTATTTTAACCACTTAACAAATAGAAGGACTCGGCTGAGAGGCTGAGTGGCTTCCTCTTGGTCACAGTGGTAAGTGTGGTTAGTGTCAGGGCTGCACAGGAATTCAGGTGATTCTAGCTCCACAGTGCAGGTCTGTCCACCGTCCCTGCTGCCCCACATAGAACTCTTAAGCAGATACCAAAGGTCACACCAGCCCCCTCCCTGGAGGGCTGGAGCCCAGCGCTTCCTTCTGCTGAAGGAGCCTCTGGGGCCTGAGAGCCCCGTCACTTAGAGCTGCTCTCTCCCTTCAGACGCCGTTTCCCATGGAACATCATCCTGCTGACCCTCTTTGTAAGTGTGGAAGGTGGTGGGAGGCTATGGCGATGCTTTGATGGGAACGGGCCCAGGGACGGGATGGAGACTCCCCTGCGGAAGGCTGAGCCTGGCTGGCTCCCCTGTCTGTTTTGGGTCTCCTCTGTGGCTGCCCCTTTCCAAATCACTCACAGTCACCCTGCTCTGGTGAGCCACCATGACTGTTCCCCCAGGGCCCTGCCTTTCTTCTTAAGGGTTTCACTCTTGCTTCTCTCCTTCCCTCCCTCAGACTTTCGCCATGGGCTTCATGACGGGTACCATCTCCAGGTACGTGCAGGGCAAGACACGGCCCTCTTGGAGGGATGTGTGAAGGGGCGCGGGGGTCTCGGCTGTGTGGGTGGATTCCGGGCAGGACTCTCGTCCCCGCTCACTCCTTGTCCCTCTAACTGCCCCCTCCAGCATGTACCAAACCAAAGCTGTCATCCTCGCCATGATCATCACCGCGGTGGTGTCCATTGCCGTCACCATCTTCTGCTTTCAGACCAAGGTGAGGGCATGAGGGCCCTTCCCTGGCCTCCCCACCCCCTTCCTCACACAGATCTGGCCCTTTGGGTGTAGCATTTGAGTGCGTTGGGAGGGCCAGACCGGTGAACACCAGGGCTTTCGCTCCCCCTCACATCTGCACCTACGGAGCTGCTGTCCTGTCTGTCCTCAGAATGTCATGGTCACTGCTGTGACCCCCTAAGAGGCAACACTGGCAGGGGAGGCAGGGCCTGTCTGGCTGGATTGCCGCTGTAGCAGCTGTCTGACAGGTGTCCCCCTTTCCTCCCTGGCAGGTGGACTTTACCTCGTGTACAGGCCTCTTCTGTGTCCTGGGGATTGTGCTGATGGTGACCGGGCTTGTCACCAGCATTGTGCTGTACTTCAAATACGTGAGTATCCCTAGAGTCGGGAGTCAGTGGTCTTAGTGCCCAGGACAGACTTTCTGTAGAGCATGGTGTCACAGGCCTGTCTTGGACCCAAAGGCCTCTGGGTCACTCTGACCTCCAGAACCTTTCAACTACTAGCCAAGATACCCACACAGGGCACCATCCTTTGGGGTTAGGGGCTGATCGATCTGCACAGGAAGCAGTGGGTGAGATCTGTCTGACAGCTAGAATAGGTGCCAGCAGGAGGATGGAAAAACCCAGAGGACTGAGAAAATGAGCTGGGGTGGAAGGGACCTTCGGGATACTGGCTCCAGTTCCTTCACTTATTCTAGTTGTCTGGGACCCGTAGGCTGCAGGGAGAACAGTGCTGAAGGGGGAAGGATGTGAACAAGATGCCCCTGCCCACCTGTGGATGGGCACCTGTAGGGAGTGTGGGTCTTTTTTTTTTTTGAGAGGTTTTTGCTATAGGGCGTGTGTGCTCACCAGAAAGACAGAAAGAGACAGAGAGACAGAAAGTGAGAAATCGCCCCCCAGGGGGATGGCCACACTGCAATCCCTTTTACTCTATTCTCTTCTTGGGGATCTTGGGCATGCATACACACGCGCCCGGTGTGAGTTTAAGCCACCAGGTCCAGGACTCGAACTGCGGTCGACTACAAGGGAGTCCAGTGACATAACCATTATGCCATCTGCTGGTCCCAGAAGTGTGGGTCCTTCTTCCTTGGCCTCACCCTCACTCCCAGGCTGGGCTGTGGGAAGCACCTCTACTGGACACTGACAACTTGGGAGGCCACGAGGGGGTCTTCAACCAGTGTGTGCTGGGTCTGCCTCCAGACCGACTCTCCCGCTTTCTAAAAGTACAGTGGACACCTCTGTACCTTGACTGCCTTCTGAGATTAGTTGGGATGAAGCTGTGCCTGGCCATTGGCCTTTGCTTTCTCTGCCAAATACAGCTCCACTCTTAATTTCTTCTGAGATCTAGAAAGGTAGAAATAGCCCTTTCATGGAGAGCTAGCTTCCCAGGACTACACCAGAAGCCTGATGCCAGGATCCCGGGGTCCCAGGGAAAGCTGGGTCCTGAGGGCCTGCCTCGATCTGTGTGCTGAGATTTCTGATGCCATTCCTTGTCCCCCCCCACCCCAGATTTACTGGCTGCACATGGTCTATGCTGCGCTGGGGGCCATTTGTTTCACCCTGGTGAGTAAGGCCCTCCCCAAAGGGAAATTCCTGCCACCTCTTGGCCCTCGTCTCTACTGTCAGAACACTTGGTGGGCCATGTTAGAGAAGACGCTATGTCTGTCTCCTTTTCTAGACTGTGAACTGCTTGGGGATAGGGGCTGTGTGTTATGCCATTCCTTAGTGAGTCCCTAAGCACACTGCAATGGCACGTCCACACCCAGGATAAATTAGCCGGCCAGGTATGAGCTCCAGACACTGAGCCGTGGGTTCTCACTTGCGGTGGCCCTGTCTCTGCAGTTCCTGGCCTATGACACACAGCTGGTCCTGGGGAACCGGAAGCACACCATCAGCCCCGAGGACTACATCACCGGCGCCTTGCAGATCTACACGGACATTGTCTACATCTTCACCTTTGTGCTGCAGCTGATGGGGGATCGCAATTAAGGAGCACCCCAATGATCCACCCCACCCAGGGCTCTCCCCTCCCTAGAGTGCTGGGCCCTAGACTGGGGTCTAGGCCTCAGACTCCTTCCTTCCCCTCCCGTAATACTGTTTCCTTTCTGTCCTGGGGAGGGTGGCCTCCGTGGCTGTGTGTGTGTAGCTACCTGGTGGGGCTGGAGGAGCTGGGGACTAACTCCGGCTAGGGTGGGCCTGGCAGAGACAAGATTGAGGTGTGTCTTCTGCCTCTACCCCTGATGTGGCACCCCATTCCTCTGAGCAGCTGGGGCTGAGGGCAGTGAACAGAGCCTGCTCTGTGGCTCCAAGGACACACGAGGGTAGGTAGGAGTGACGTCAAGGCAATGAGGTTTCCCTCCCGCTTGGCTATGGGCTGCTTCTAGGCTAGGTAGTCAGAGCTGTTTCTTCTCCCAACCCCAGTGAAGCCAGAGAGCTTGGTCCCAGCCCCCTGGCCCCACAAGCCATTCCGTGTCTCTGTGGCTTGGCACCATGCAGCCTGGGAAGGTAGGAGAGCTGTGCCCATAGGTCTCTCCACTTCAACCCCTCCTTGTTCTAGTGACATGTATGTAGTTGATCAGGGCTGGGCATGGGACGGAAGGTGAGCACAGTACAGGACAGCATCTCCCTAGCCTCCTTCCTCTCCCTCGTGCTTGCGACAGTGGTGGGAGAGCAGGCCATTAGTAGCCATCTGGTCCCCATTCCCCAGAGCTGCCAGGGCTTGCTTGGGTGCTTCTGAGCTCTAGTCAGACAGCCTTCTTGCTTCCTGTGTTCAGGCTACACAGAACAGAGATGAGGGGCAAAGGTCAGGAAGTTGGGTGGTTTGTAGCTCCTAAGTGTGGCCAGGAACTAGGGTGAAGACCGACTGGGGTGTTGGCAGGGAAAATGGTCCCCACTTGGTCTGAGAGACAAGAAGACGTTGCCCAAGAAGACGTCCGTGTTCCTTCTGCTAACCCAGGGAAGGCCCCGAGAGAAGGTGGCTTCCTCTGCTCTTAACTCACACTGGGGGATTCTGACTTAAGCCCCCCCTCTCCAGCCAGCTGCCCTCTTTGCTATACTAAGTGCCTCACGCTGGAATGGGGAAGGCCGGGCAGGGTCAGTCTGCCGGGGGGGTGGGGAGAAACAGATCAGCCCAAGAATATACTTGTAAGTTCTCTGTTAAGTACTTGATCCTAAGTATATCACACAAAGGGACACCCTAGAAATGTAATAAAGTTTTATGTTTAGAAGTTAAACTGCGGTGTGGCTCCGGATTTCTCACTTGAAGGTGTTAACTGGCTGCCCAGAGCATCTGCCTCCCACCTCTGCATTGTGGCTTGGTCCCTCCCAAGAGAACTCTCAGGGGACCACATACAGTGCCTGGTGCTGGATGCCAGAGCCTGGTGACTGCACCCTAGCCTGCAATACCGGACCTGGATGGGACCTTTTGCAGCCGAGCATGGCCCCTTTACAAAAGCTTTGGGAGCTGTTCACTCTTCCCCGCCCAGCTGGGTCGCTATACATCATTTCACAGATAGCAGAGGAGATGGACTGCAGGCTGACGTTCAGAACCAGTCTTGGAAATCACTAGGCTAAACCTGAAAATGAGGAAACAAGCCCAGAGAGATGAGTCATCTGGACTCAGCCAAGCACCCAGAAGAGTGCCTTCTTGCCTCCACACCCTGAATACCTTCGTGGATTCTCTCTAGGCTGAGTGGGACGAGCGGGACCCCACCCTCCTGGCTAGCAGTGCCAAGGGCTTGGCCCCCCTGGGCCTGAGCCTAGGCTTGTTGCACCTAAGTCCCTGGCTGAAAGCTGAGCAATCCTGTGAGGGGGAGTACGCATGAATAAACAGCCCCACCCCCGGCCCCTCCCATCCCACAGGACTCACAAACCCAGACCTGGTTCCTTTCCCTCAAACACTCAGCAACTTTATTTGCCTTTGGCTGGCTCCTGGGGTGGGAGAGGCGTGAGATGGCAGCAGCCTGGGCTTCCTGCGCCCTCTGGTGGATCTCAGGGGCAAGGACCAGAATCTTGGCCAAACTGGAGACCTTGACAGCAACAGTTCTAGAGAGGGGGCAGTACTCCCTCAGGCCTGCCCCCCAGACCCAACTTCGGAGGGCGGAGCAGGTTGGGAGGAGGCCCTGAACCTCTGGCTCTCATACTCGCCCGTGTTGGACGCCCGCATGTTCTGCCGAGCCTTCATCTGCTTCAAACGGTCCTTGTCCACTTCCCGCTTGGTGAGGATGAAGAGGAGGATACCACAGGGGAAGCCGATGGCCCTAGGGGTGGGGAGATGTGCACGGGGCTTGGGGAGGGGCCAAGCCTGCGCCAGAGGAGCTGGGGGATCACTCCAGCTTCGTTGCTTGCATGAGTGCTACAATATGCAATAGCTCTTGTTTCTATTTGCCAGCGCTGGCTGTTGGAGGGATGCATGCAAATCAGATCCTGCCACTGCCCTGGCCCTGCTTAACACTCATTGGCAGCTCTCCATCACTTCCTGGCCAGCACCTAATTCCTAAGCATGGTATCAAAGGCCCAGTGTAGCTGAGTCCCTGCCTACCTTCGCTACTTCCCCCGTAGCCTGGTCACCCTTAGCACAAACCCTGAGCCATGGTCCCTATGACATTCTCAGGCAGCCCCGCCTCCATCCCTCTGTGTTGCAGCAAAGGTCCCCTCTGTCTACACTGCCCCATATCCCTCCAGACTCCCCTTTTGAATCTGTAGTTTGCTAATTGGGAGGCACCTCGGGGAAAGAGCACAGAGTCCCAAGACCCAGTGGGAAACCCAGCTCTGAGCATCAGTTTCTTCCTCTGTGAAATGGGAATGGAATATTCATCTCAGAAAGACTAGAACATTACATGGCAAAGTACTGGCACACTTCAGGCGCTACAAATAGAGTTAATTTCCTTCTCCTTTTTCTTTAATATTCAGCAATAATATATATTATGACGAAAAGTCAGATCCAAATAGCAATGTTTGGGACACCTTCTAGTACCACTATGCAACTAATAGAATCTCACAGGATCTCAACTAATTCATGGAACTTGAGTGTCACCCCAACCTCCCAAAAAGGAGGGGAAGGTCAAGGACCCAAATTCAAATCACATCAGCTCAGTTTACTCCAAAAAAGCCCACTATTGCCCAGTTCCATATACTTTCCCACCTCCCTTGCCCCACTCCTTTGCGGTTCCAATCCTTAGATTCAACAACTGTGTTCCCACAACTTCCAATTCAGCTCACCACCTGAAACTTGGAGAAGTTTCTGGGTCCTCTCTTCCCTGGACGCCAGTCCCTACTGGTGGGCAAACGGGGAGTTAAAACTCACCAGGCCAGTCCCACAGCTTTCATGGGGTTCTTGCCCCTCTTTCTGGGAATGTATTCCAGCTCAGGGGAGAGGGGCTCCGGCTCTTCCTTGCACTCTGGGGAGCTGTGGCTTTGCAGTGCCCGGGTCCTGTTGTGGGAAGCCTTGTTGGCCGTGGCTCCTGAGAGAATCCCTGTGAATAGAGAAAGGACAGTCAGTAAGAGGGCATGAGAAGAAAGCCAGGAGGGGATGGGTCGGGGGGAAAGGGCTGGGGAGGAGTGGCTGAAATCTGAGGAAAGAGAGGCTAAGTCTGGAGTAACAAGTGCCAGGGAGAATCCAGAGAAATGGGAAAATCGCCATTGAGGTGGCACCTTTGGAAATCACTTCCACGTCACTGCGGGCTCATCACCCTGGTGCCAGGAGAGCGAGCTTCGCTGTTCTTCATCTCAGACGACAGGATGGGAAGGACTGCAGTGGGACTCACAGGAGGCGTATGAATGAAATCCGGGAAAAGGTTTCAAAACTGCAGAATGTAAGCACTGGAAGGGGCTTAAGGATAGTCTGCTCCACCCCCATTTTACAGAAGAGGACACTGGAGCCCCGAAAGACGAACTGCTTCGTCCAAGGTCACACTGCTAATTATTCGAGGCTAGAACCCAAGCCTCCAGAAGACCAGGGCTCTTTCATCTGCACTGCGGTGAGTGTGAAACACCTGGAGCGCGGGAGTCGAAAAGGCTTCCGCGGGCTCCCTCTTGCAGCAAGACCCCAGATGTGTCGTGTAAGCCGAAGGCAGAGGGATAGACTGGGTGACCTCTAGAGAGCATCTTTTCCCCCCCGACTCTTTGAGATCCTGCAGAGAGGTGTGGGCAGGAACCCCGAGCCCTGACCTCCTGCTATCGCCGGGCGGGATGTGAAAAGAAAGGGATCTCCTGCGGACCTGCCCTCCCCGGGGTCCCTCTCCTTACCCCGGAGGACGCGGGCATTTCTCGCCCCCCGGCCCTTCAGCGCCGTAGCAGCTACCACCGCAGCCATGTTCAGATCCCACCCCCCTGCACCGCGCTCCCCGCCGGGAATTGTAGTTTGCGTAAGGGGCCTCCCCCGCTCCTTCCGTCCTGCCTACAGATTAGAAACTACACCTCCCAGAAGTCCGCGGAGCGGACCCGGGAGAACTACTCTTCCCAGGAGACCAGGAGGCGCGCACGCTCGCTTGTTTCCCTCCATTTGGGGGCGGAGTCAGGGTGGGCGGAGTTGGGGTTCTCCCCGCCACGCCCCGGCCTCGTCTCCCAACTCTGTCCTGCGATTGGTTGGTCGGATAACCAAAACCCATCGCTATTGGTCAAACGGCCGTCGCTCTTCCTGCCGGGGAGTCGCCTACGCCTACTTCCTCCCGGGAGGAGGGGCTCGAGTTCCGCGTCGTCGCGCAGAGCTGACTCTGGGAGGCGTTTGGGCCCAGAGAAGTGGATCGGCCGCTTGCGCCGCATGGAGTCCGAATCGGAAAGCGGGGCTGGCGCTGACACCCCCCCACCGGGGG